GTATTCTTTCGCGTCCCACCCACCCGGGTTTCCCTTTTTTCTTCTCTTTCCTCTTTCTTTTTTCTTTCTTTATTTTTCTTTTTTCAAGCTGTTTATTTATGTTTTGCGGGTTTCTATTTAAAAATTATGTAGCGTCTGCTTTCTTCTTACGTATTCCTGTTGTAGTTCAGGTGTTATGATTTCCTTTTATATTGTGGTTTTGTTAAACATTTCTTTTATTTTTTCTTCTTATTGTTCAGATGGTTACGTTGGTTTATGTCAAAGCGTCAGTATTATTATTAGCCAGATTTAGCTTTTTTCACCATTTTTCTCTATGTTATCATTTTCTCTGTTATGTGTCCGCTAGCCACCCCGTAGGGTGTTGTTGTTATCATGGTCATGGCAAAAATTTACCCTAGGCATTTCAGCCTAGGATTTTTTATCCCAAACACTGCGCTTTTCTGACTAGCGCTGTTCCTTGAGTATCATCGTAAGTTTTTACTTGATCTCATTTCTCAAACGGAATTGCCTGTGAGCAAGACAGCACTTGAGCTGATAGAAGCTCAACAGCGACTGTCGAAGTTCTCATTAGATACCGTAAGTGCCTGATGTTCTTCGTCAATCATTTATAGTTTCAATTTCCAACTTCTGACTTTTTAAATTTATACTCTAGCCCACAAATAAAGTAGCGGGACAAAACCAAGTGCATAATGAATGGTGGAATTCAAGTCAGAAGGGCATCAATGATGATGATGTATCACTTTGTTCATCTTCTGCTACTACTTTCAATTCTCCATTATTTGAATCTATCGCACGTCGGGAGGTAGAATTACAGCAATCTATCCTGAAAGATTGGAGAACACGATTCCCTTCAAAAGTAAGCCATAACAAGTGATTATGTATCAACATCAATCATGTTTTTGACATTTCTTTATATTTATTCCTTTTTTTAGAAAGATCCAACCGAATGAGAAGGAGTTTAGTGATGTACTTGTATCATAGATGAAAAATAAATTATAAATATATACATGTAGAAAGATTATCCACTTATCACACAGATGTATGCGGGAAATGCAGCTAAATATTCTTGCGTATATGACGGTAGGCTAAATTGTCAATCCATCGGATACATTACAATATTATGATTGATAGCGTACCTAGTTGATCAAAATGAAAAAATGATAATGATCAAGATAAATGGATACTTTTGGAACTGGGCACCGCCTGAGCAATAACTTCCTTTTCTTCATATTATTGACGAGGAAAGATCAATCCAAGATAGTTTTCTATGTTTTTTGAGGATTATACGGAATCCTTTTCCGTTCTGTCATCAGCCATTGATATCCTGATTGACAACTGATGTTCCACCAAATGGTAGGCATGACTTTACTGTCTTATCAGGTTCCCGAATTCGGTCCCATCAGTAAAGGCATATCTCTCCAGAGTTGTGTGAATGTTCAGATGAAAAGTAGTTAATTTGTGTGAAGGATCTTTCATATGTCCTATAGAGGATATTGGAAGGCTAGGAGGGTAAATTTACATGAACGCAATGCGGAAGAGGGTAGAGTTTTTGTCACGTTTGCAGAGAGTTAAATGAATATATCAAAAATGCAAAGGAGGATTGACATCAGTGCAATTGTAATCGCGAAATCAAGTGGTCACCTGGGTCTCAAGACTTGTGGCTCAGCTGGCCGGCCATTGATTTGTCCAGCCATATCTTGCAATCCCATATCTTTCCTCCATCCTTGAACGCAGTGACTCGATGATAATTTTAGCTTATGTGATATATTCAAAAAATATTCGCACAAGTCAAAAGCACATGGGAAAAAGATGAAAGCTGCATATCCATATCTCATGCATTCTGTCGTGAAAGAGTGAATCACGATTCTGGAAGGAGTTTTCTGAGCAGTTTTTTGAACAGCAAAGGCCAGATAGAATCTTGTTGCTGGCCATGAACAAGTCGCAGCAAGTTCCCAACATCACTTTGTCTAAATCCACATCGCAGACCAATTTTTAGCTTGTATGTAAGTACATCAATAGGCTAAATCTTGCTGCACAAAAATTCTGCATAGTTCTGCCTGACGCTATAAGCTGCGATCTTAATCCCCTTCAAATATCATGATCGTGAGAACTTCTTGCAGAGCCATTGTTAGATTGTTCCACGGTCCACCATATGTCACGGGCCGTACTGAAGCGCGTGGCCGGGGTGTATAGACGTAAAATGGTCCGACGGTCGACTCACTCAACTCTCGAAGTTGCTTGTACTCGCGGGGCTCAAACATCTCGATCAGTTGCACTCGCCATCCTCAACATGTCTGCAATGACTCCCTTCAGAATGGCTCATCGAAAACTGGTGTTCACTTCGACTTTTCGCTCTTTGCCCTCACAACTCACCACAGGCTGTTGCTCTTTGACAACTTCTGCATCCATTCGTGCTAAAGCCGCCTCGCGAACCCGTACAACGCCTGAAGAATTTTCAACAAAGTCTCATTCACAGAGCAATGAACAAGACGTCAAGTTCAAGCTCGCGAGCAGTACGCTTCAATATGAAAAGACTCTCGAAGGCTTATGGTCACTGATAAATACGATGGAAATTGACGTACAGAACCAAAACCGAAACGTCTCATACCTCCCAAGCGGCCATGGAGTATCATGCAACTCGTCATTGAGAGCGTTGTCGCGGTTAGCCTTTTTTCGTTTAAAAATTTGAGCAATTGTCCCTGGATCTGAGATGACTATTATCTAAAAGGAACAAAAATCAGCCACGGGATCTATTACGTCGATGGCCATGCGGGACTGCTTTCGTCTGGCTGGAGAGAAATATCGATCACTGAGTGAAGAAGAAAGAAAAGTATGGCTAAATTTCCTTCGTACTTGATATCAAATAGTTGATTAAGATGTTGATATGACCTGCTTCAGTCATACCAAGAAGATCTAGATAAACGTCGTCAAGCGTACGAAGCAGAGATGCGTCAATTTCTAGATTCACTTACTCCACAGGATTACGTGAACCAAAACGAATACATTCGTCGTCGGCGAGCGCTGGGTCGTTCGACTGCCAGACGGGGGATACCAAAACTGGATCCCAACGCTCCTAAGCGCCCATTGAATGGCTTTATGCTCTTCTGCGCCGACATAAGAGCTAATCCAACAAAATTTGGAGAATTCCTAGGCCTTTCAAATACCCCTACGACCTCTATCACTGAGGAATCGAAAGTTTACGCAGCTTATTGGCGCGAAATGAAGGACGAAGTTAAGCAAGTGAGCAAATTCATTTCAACTTTGATCAAGATCTTGACTTGCTATATGATGCGCGTTTTTGATTCGCCTCGTATGGGTTCACGTTATTTAGACATATCTTGATGAGGCTACAAGACTAAGAGAACTTTATAAACAAGAAAAGGAGCAATATGATGATCAAATCAAGGCCAAATCGGCACAGGTCTGATCATTGGACTGACATAAATACCCATAATCTGCAATATATCAAGTTTCTTTCACAGACAGGCGTGATTGATGCACCAATCTTTCATCAATCTTCTTATGTGGTCTTTCTCTCTCCTTATGGAGTCACTTGGCTTTTCTGTACGATAACCGCCTAAGAGTACGTTAGTGTACTGTTGACGTGGTTTCTTGAGTCTATATCACCTTTATATGTTTTGAAAACATGGGACAGGTCCCAGCGCATTGTTGTTTCTTCTACACTTAGCAACCGTGAATCTAGAGAACATGGCTACGTTCTACCCTTTTAAAGCGATAATTATGTGGAATTGGCAATCGGCATTTAAAACTTTCAAAAGGTGCAAACAGACCGGTTACATTTTGAAACTCCAATCCGCTGGCAGAGTTTTCTCTCGGATCAAGTCTTCATGACATTCACTCCATCGGTTTTCCATCCATAAAATGTTTATAGGCAAGTGTTTTCACCCTGTCGCACAGCTTAAACCTTGTGGATACCGCTCCCAAGGTCTGATTCACGTCTTGGGTGCATCCAGATTCCAGAATTATATCCGACATATATTCAGTCTGAAGGACTACAATGGAAGTCGGGGATCTCTGGTCTTCCCTGGTACAGTGATGTGGAGTTAAAGCAACCAGAAGCAACCCAGTCCAAGGAATTGGAGTACATATGTACATGTAGAATCGCGCTTGAATAGATCGATTCCTCCTTTGGGTCAACGGGCCAAGGTCGAGTCGTACCACCTTCCGAACATCGGAAGGTATGCTGTACATACTTCGCCAAGAGGTCGCGCCGTTCGGCGAGGCGTCGGGGGTTTGTTAAGGTACACCTGATGAAGGGGTTACTAACCCAATTGGGGTATCCTGAGAAAACTCTCAAGTTGTACTGTAGTTAGACGATGCTTTAACGAACGCCATTTTCCGATGAAGGATAAGTCTGATAAAGTTTTCATGACGCTGATTAGAGTGCGCTTTTACTACATCAGAATCCCCTTGACTACACCACGGGGTAACTTTTCGTTGGAATACCAGCAAAAAGTTGGTCGTGTCGAAATCTGGCCGAACGCTCGCCGAAATCCCAGCGTTCGACCAGATTTTGGCTGGTACGGCTATACCAGCTGATTTCCGGTCAAAAGCTGGGATTTTGGCCAGATTTTGGCTGGTAGGCCGTCTGGTGGGCCTGGCGAGAGGTTGACCAGTCTTTTGGCGAGCAGAAGACGGTAAGAGGAAATGTCTTCAAGGAATGTGAAACCGGAGGCTGTGAAGTTAAGGTCCGGTTTTCACAATTGCCTCCATAGACGTGGTTGTCACTTTCCCTTTTTTATTCTGACAGCGGGAGAGCTCCCAGAATCCATTCTTTGGTCTGGGAGCTCCTCCACATCTTCCTCAACATCGATGCCTTAACCCACCAGGGGTGGATGGCGTGGCTATGGGAGGGAACGAAGAGGTTCTCTCGATCAGCTCCCCAATGATCGGCACATAAACTTCGTCGGAAACATCTCCTCGGAAACGGTCTGTAGGCCGCCGGATGGCTTGTCTAACGGCGGTAAGGCGATCTCGCCGTTCGACCGCCGCGCCACTGACCATCTGGCGGCGAGCGTCCACCACCAAGCAAATCTCGCCGTACGGCGGTATTCCATGGCCGCCGAACGACGGTATGGATTACCCCGTGGTGTAGCATCAGTTAGACCTAGTCTTTCCAAGGCCGCTGAGGCTTGAAGTGTGTGTCAAAACATCCACTTCCGGCTCTTTGATTGGGTCGCTTCCATTGGCGCGTCGCCTTCATCGACTATCTTTTGCCATTCTTCTGGAATTTCATCAGATCGACCTCTATGGGCCTGGCGTGGAGAGGGAGGGGATGTATTGCAAGGATCTGCTTCGTAAGTTAAAAGCGGGCGTGTCTGCGGATAAGCGAACCTGTGCCTCTATAATCCCGTTTCTCTCCAATCAATCGTCGCTGGTCCTATCATTGAACTGAGATAGTCATAATAGCCACTGATCAAATTCCGGCTCACCTATCAATTATTTCTCACTCAACTGTTTAAAGCTTCATACCATCCCCTTCAGTGACCTGTCTGTATCAGTAACATTCATTATTTGATCATCGTTGAAAGCTCGAAGAGATGATTTCCACTGCTATACCACCAAACTGGAAAGAGGTTGTTCAACGCGCTGGGACTGGGAAAGACCCATTTCGATACTTGCTCCGAACCGTTGATGAACTCGCATATCCAAAAGTTCCCGACAGCTTGTTCGGGATACTCATTGGCTTTGCAGCCGTTTACTTTGCGGTTATCGTGATTTGCTTTTGCCTTCTCATCATTCCGGTAACTCGTGGCCAGGATGCTCGAAAGCGCCATTTCTGGCTCTACAAAAAGCACCACTTACCTTCCAGTGAGTGCCCTTACGATTGTTTTTTGTCGCGATCACTTTCACTTCTACTCGGTGGGCTGATCAATAAACTTTGTTTTCCTTTGATATGATAACAGGCAACACGCCGTACTACATCTATAATAGTGGATTGGTCAGTCTTTTGTGTTGATCCTGAAACAAGATCCTCGTTCTCAATATGTCCAATTCATTCACAGATCACAATTATATCTCAACTCGTCACTTCCATATTTTTCGAGACTTATATATTTTTGAACTTTCAAAGTCTGAAATCTCCTGAGTTTGCACGGAGGATATATATGTATGTCTGGTAAGTTTCCTTTTTTGGTCATGTTGAAGTGGAGATGAATTGAATATAAGCTCATGTAAATCTTCACTGGATCCATAGGCTGGAGTTGAGCTGGTATAACACGTTTCCCTCTCCCATGGAAAACTATTCATCAGTCCGGACACCTGTGTCTTTTTGGACATCCAACAACCAATCCTGATCCTCTGCTGCTGTTTCTCCACAGGCTTCCAGGATATTATGGATTTCACGTCACCGCTTTCAGCTCTTTGTACACCTCGTGAGTGTTGAGACCATCTTCCAAACACTGTGGTATGTAGACCAAGGATTAAACGGTTTCATCAACCTATTTGTTTCCATAGCATTTGTTCTCCACGCCTCGCAGGCTCGCAGCTTCAGTCATTCATTCGGCCGAGGTTTCTCAACGTGTTGTTTTTTACAATCCCAGTACTTGTTACTATTCAGACAGCTGTTTGGGCTCTACTTTTGTTCATCAGCACAAAAAATCAAAATCAAGCATATCTCGAGTTTGCCTCCGCAGCTTTAGCAGGATCAAAAAATTGGACGACTTCCGTCGGAGTTGAGACAAGCGCTAGTACTTTGGTTCTATCTAGACTCACTGCTTATTTACACACATGTGATAAATTTGTTGTCATCGCACGATGGGCAGCAGTTTGTTGGTCACTCATTGGACTGGTTCTTGCAGGTGTAAGCAGCTCAAATCATCATCCATCACTCCTCTGAGACCACCTACAAGGATATTGATATCTCCGCTTGGTATCCAGTTTTACGCTTTTGCTGCAGCTGTTTTGATCAAGCTCTTGAAGCACTGCATGAACGTCGCTGGGGGGACCGTCTCACACTTCACACGCACTTGGGAATATCACGTTGAAACACCAGGTGCATTGGATATGAGCTTCGATTCTATAAAGCTAAAAGCTCAGCCGGCAATAAAGCGATTAAATGACGAATACGGTGCGTAAAATCTCCATAAGTCTCCTCACAGTTTCGAGCTCGAGTGGAGTGAAAGACTAACTTCTATACCATCTCGAAATCTCAGTCTACCTTGTTGGACATTGTTCCGTTATGACGGTGTGCTTGCTATCAGACGGAATTGTTGGAATAGTCATCGCCATCAAAACTGAACGAACCGTGACTGAGTAAGTCTTGCAAAAGAATGCTGTCTCGAAGTGATACTAATCATAAGTTTCATAAACATCTGACTCCTTTTACAAGTCCTAAATGGCGCATCGTCGGAAACTGGATCACATTAGTTGGCTCCTGTTTTATATCAGTGGCAATGTTAATACAGAGTGTAGGCACTTTATCCATTCATGTTTCCCATATCTTGTTTTTCCTAAAAGAATTGACACAATGTTGACTGTGACCTCATCAATCTTATCAGTGGAGAATGTTGTCAGAAAGAGACACGACTCAATCAAGCTCAACATCAATGGAGAAGTGTGGTTACGAGGAGGAAGTGACGCCCGCACGGTTCATCGTCGAGACTGACGACGATTTCTTTAGTGAAGAACTACATCAAATACAAAAAATCTCAGGATTTGTTGAGGACAGCGATGTCAGCTCAAAAAATACAATCATTCCCTCAGAATTGAGCTTACATATCGAGACTGAAAAGGGCCCCAAGTAAAAAGCTGATCTCGAAGATTGTAACCTATCTAAGAATTCCAAGTCAGACTCCAATTTTTTCAGTATATATCTATTTTCTATTATCTTTTAACCTTTTTAAAACATCAATTCGAAATCTTCATGTTGTAAATTGAAAGCAAAAATGCATCATACATATTATCTTCATTCTAACGATTTGTTTTGAATGATCTAAATGCGATCCTTGGGCTAATCACCTTCAAATTCTTTGAACAAGACACTGATCAACACTCCTTACTTGAGCTATGAGTAATTGGTCTTCCTGAAATTCTCATTCCTCCATCTCTTCTTGTTTGCCAAACTACCTCCTCAATGCATTGTTCATCAGATGGTAGACGGTAACCTACTAATTGGGGCTCCGAGGTCATCAAAATTTAAAGCGCATTTTTTTCTTCACCTATGGAAGTTTTTCTTTGTCACATTTTGCATCCATTTCATGACTGGTACACATCAAGTGCATAGCAGATTGTCTTCATCTGTTTTGACAAGTGTAATACATCACCTCAAAGTTACATTTTTTAATGGAAAATGTAGCTTCTTTTTGAGTTCTGGTAAAGTTTCGCTCACACTTGACCATATCCACAGCTTTATGTGTTTGATGTATAAATTTGAGAGCTTGATCTGATGTACAAAGTAAATAATAAGACAGTTTTTTCTTACACAAATATTAAATTCAAGTTAAATCCTGTAGGGAGAAAAATCATCAAGATGATTTAAGATGTTTATAATTCATTACTTTGATGAGTTTGAGTACTGTTATTACAATATAAACTTTTAGAAGCTCTGAAATGGTCTAATCTGGAAGCTGATTTGTTTTGTAAGTACTCAGAAACACCATACTTGCAGTGTGCAATGTATTGTGAACTTGCTCATAAACATGCCTGGTATTTTTCAAAGTGACTCTGCCGAGTCCACAGGCTCTAGAGTGCAAGCTGCAGTGAGTGGAATGTGATGTATTTTTGATTGAACCCTCAGTATAATGATTGATACACCACAAAGACACATTTGGACAGAACGACGTCCGAGCCGTCCGAGACCGGATGCTCAACTCCGCGTCCCCAGTCAGGGTATCTTTTGGGCGTCCTTGGGCGCCGACGTCTTTTCCACACTCTGAGGATGTTGTGATGGCTCTCGGATCTGGGACACTTGATGATCCCCCCAGCTCTCAGCCTGACCTGGACATTCCTACCGAAGCTGTCTTCAGAGCCAAGCCTGGATGTCCTCGCAAGACCTGAGATCATGATATTTGGCCGGTTCCGTCAGGCGTGCATCAGGTTGTCGTTGAACTTGGCATCGCCAAAGGCCCCCCTTCTCCAAGCCCTGAGGATATTTCCAAGCGATAAAGTTCATAAGGTCTGTACACTGACCACTTAATGAAGGAAACTTCTAGAAACAAATTTGTCGGGAAAAATCGGAGGAAGAAGGGAAAACCCCTTTGGAATTCACAAGTCCTCTTCACCTTCCTCATCTCACAAAGTCTCATCCGACCTTACTTTCCTCAAATCCCATCATCACCACTAAACTCAACTTGATTTATAAGTTACACACTACCCGTTCTGAACTCCTCTCCTCTAGATCCCTCCCTCAGACCAGATCACGCTCAGACTATATTGTTCAAATTACAAGTCTGCAAGAGGCTTCCAATAGTTACAACTCTTTCATACTGACTCTCAACTCGGCATTCAAGGCACTCGTCTGCTTGCTTGTCATAACCTATCCATCAGAATTTGTAAGTCAAATACTTTCTGTCTTCTCTTTATCTCCATCATTCCATCCACTTAAGATCTATTCTAATCGAACCATACCTGCTTTGACTTCAATTGTATCTGGGTGTCTTGGGCCCGGAGAACCAAGTTAACCGGTAAGTGAGCTTTGACCAACGCTACCTTCTCTCTCCTACTTGTGAACTATGCTAACACTCATGTTAATGTCACATTTATGTTTGATTAGGTAATGATGTCTTTGGGTCTGATGGTTACTTGAGCTTGAGTCTGAGGCAATGACCAAATGGTCGGTTACTTGTTCTAGAATCAATCGAGCAACCATGACCAATCAGAAACACCTTGAATCGAGCTGAACCCATAGTCGTCTTCAGGATCGCGATCAGCCTGATGTACAAACCCAAGTGATTGGATGAGGTTCAGAGAAGGTCTGATATTGTGACCGGCTCACCACTACACATTTCGGAACCGTTTGATATCTCAATTTAATCGGCTATCAGTAAAGTCCCTTTTGTACACTTTGGATTGATTTGATTGCTCCCACCTTCCATGAACCTATCATTGAAATAGGTTGAGATCGATCATGGCTTTCAAATTTTGTTTGGCAGAGCTGTTTTTTTGTCAAACTCTTTATACACATATCGTTTCAACTATAGAGTCTCCATCATTGTATCCTTCAACAGCACTGAAATGCATCATACTTTTGTCTTACAAAATTAGTCCTTGAAGCTGTCCCCTGGGTCTGATAGCAGGTGTGTGAGACAAATGAGAAGCCCATGCCTATGTTTAAAGCGTCACATACAATCGGTCCTGGAGTTGAGTAAGTCATCCTCATGACAACTGCAGAGTGCCCTGACAGGCCACTCAGATGCGAAGCTCTCAGCTCATCCCGTACAGACGCCTTGAGGACTCCCTGTGTAGAGTAGATAGGAGCACTTTCGGAAGCCTGGGGGACGTCCCAAATTGCGGTTCTGATCCGGGCTCCTTGGATCAGTTTCGTCAGGACGTCCCTCCCCCTGCAACAAAAACCGGTCGTCCCTGGGACATCGGCGTGTCTTTGTGGTGTATGCTTCTTACATGTGATGATTCTCCGTGTACACCACCAAGACAGCTTTTTGCGTCAGGGCGTCGGGCGTGTCTGAGTTTGGGGGCGCGAGCTGATGTCCATTCCAGGGGCGCCGACATTACATCCACGTGCGGATTTATCCGCAACGCACCCTGTAGATGCGTAGCGGCCGTCCGTGCTAGGATGTCATGCCAGCACCCTATGCTTCAATCACCTAGGGATGCCCGATCGAGCAGGCATCCCCAGTGCGCACTGTGGACAAATACTAGGCGTCTGAACTCCGATATCCATAAGGAGTTGGAGCACCGGGTATCTGCATAGCACCACGATTGATAAGCAGCCAGACGCCGAGACGCTATCCCGTAGCCATCCCGGTGATATCGCTCAGCCATACAGGTGGCGATTTCCTCTTTCCACCGTAACACTTCGATCAACGACCGGTAAGTCATTCCCTCTGGTCTTTCTTTCTCAGCTGTATTATTGGTTGAATCTTGTCTTCTGCTCTCACTATTTTGTCTTGAATCTTCTCCTACCACCTCTTGTTTTCTTGGATCAAATTGAATCGGCTCTTCTGTAATTGAAATTCATCTAATGGTCTCGAATCTCTCCGGATCATCTTGAATCCCTCGACATCGCCTCTTGTGCTCTTAAAAACGATCGGCTTTTTTAAAAAATTGTCAATTTGGCTCTTGTGCTCTTGAATATGATTGCCTTCATTTGAACCGCTGCAATCCAATTTCTTCATTCCTCAATCCCATTACGGATTTCAGCTGTTCAAATCGGCTTAGCAAACACATCATCTGCACATAAGATGGATTCAGCAGATGTGACTGTTGTAGATACTTGTGAGCATTTCCATTCACTTTTCATAATCGCCACATGATATTGTTTCTAACATGATTTCCTATGTAGATTTTGAAAGATTCCGCTTTGGAAAAGGATTTAAATATCGTTGTACATTATGTAAGGGTAGAGCTATGAATGCTATTAAAGATCACAAGGAATTACCAAGTCACAAAGCTATGGTAGCTTCTCAAGAGGCTATTGATTCAAATAATCAACAGCATCTTGGATCCTTTCTTCAGAACAACAACATGGATTCTTCTGACAAGGAAGCATCAGCAGATGAAGAACAAGACAAAGCTATTATCATTGATGACAGATCACTGTCTGAAGATCTTGGTTTTACTGAGGCTCTTATGCAGCTTCTGACCGGAAATTACAGTGACTCTGAATCCGAAATTTCTGATAGCTCTGATAACATTCAACCACCTGTTGAGCTTGCCAACGTCGACTGGGAGGCACTTCTGTTCAACAAGCTGAATGAAGATCAGGACCAAAGCTCGACTGGCTCTAATTCAGATGGAATGAGTAGTTCAGATATAGATGATGTAGAATTGGAAGAAGATACAACACAAAAGACACCTCGAATTGATACAGACTGGTATCCTTTCACAAAGGAGGTGTGTGTCTCAATTCTGTTATATACATTTAGTTTGATCAATGACTGAGTTTGAATCCCATTCACTAGCAGGTTGTGGGATTATTATCTCTAGGATCTGGCCGCAACCTGGCATCAGAGAGCCAGTACGAGCATAATCGGATGTTGTTTGGCCTCTTCGACATCTCTTTACCAGCGTACAAGACTCTAGGACGATTGCGAAAAAGGATGTGTGCGCGGTTTGGATTTAATGTTAAGGAGTGGGAGAGTCCCCTCCAAAACCCATGCTATGGATTGAGTATCAAAGATATTGTGGCTCAGGTACAGTATGTCTCTTATTCTACAACAACAAACATTACAGAATTATTGACAATGTTGTTTGTAACAGGAGCTTGCAAATCCTGTTGTGATTGAGCACTTGACTTTCATCCCAGAATACGATCCCAATAAACCAGTCAACCGATTGTCTCAGTCTAAGAAGTGGCGTGAAGAGTTTTCACACAATCAGAGACTCCAAATGATTACCTCGAGAAACAGACACTTCTTCCTCTACGAGCCAATCTGTCGAGATTCAGGAGAGTGGATTGTTCCTATCTTTTTCTTCCAACAATCCGGCACAGTCTATGCAAAATGTTTGAAGGCATCAATCATCTCTCAGCGAGAAAATCCCTCCGGTATCAAGATCATTGTGAACGCGGATAAAGATTTTGATTCTCCTTTCTTGATTACGGTTGATATGGATACTATTACTGCCACGTTTGTAGAGTCAAAGGATAGCAAGGGTATCCCCCTTAAGGGAAGATATGGTGGAGTAATGTATCGTGAGTTATTTAATTTTGTATACTCCATTGATAAATCAAATTAATCAACTGTACATATTTTAATAGAGCAACACGAAGACGGATATCGCGAGATACTTCTTCCAAATCCATGGCAAACCAAGGCATATGGGAAAGTGATTCGACATGTACCAATCACACTATATTCTGATGATACTTCTGGTAATGTGTCAAAAAAATGGAATAAACATATGAGTTACTATTTTACTCTTACTGGATTACCTCCTGGAATGACAAATCAAGAGTATAACATCCACTTTCTTGCAACATCCAACAAAGCAAGTGCTCTTGAGCTTGGCGAGAACATAGTGGACGAATTAAAGTAAAGTTTTCAATGATCAATACTTTGAGTGACGTCGAGACTGACCTTCAACCTTTGAATAGCATGCTGGGAAAAGACGGATTTATTACTTACGATGAAGGTCTAAAGGAGGAGGTTCTTGTAATGGTTGTTCCTTTGTGTCATCTTGGAGATTCTCCCATGCATGCGGAAATCACAAATACGACAAACCCATCAGTAACTTTAAACCCCTGTCGGATATGTACACTTGGTGTGGAAAAGCTGAATGCAAAACAAGATTCGAAATACACTCGAGCATTTGTGGGTCTTCATCAGGATGAGGTGTGTTATTTAATTAAGATTCCTTTTCTTCAATCCAATGTAATGACAAAATTATTCCTTCAATCTTCTTGTGGTGATATATAGGGAGGTCCTAAGCCTCGTGAATGGGCAACTACAAAGTCACAAACTTACGAACTCTGGGAATTACTTCAAAATCCGAAGAAGCATACTGAGTTCCGTAGGAAATCTAAAGAATATGGTGTCAAAGATACTACAAATACTCAATTTGTGGAACAGTTTCATGAACTTCATAAAGATCACGAGTACTCAAAAGAGGAGGTGCATAAGATGTTTGAAGATCTCAACAAACAATTTGGAGATCGACTGTTCAATCCTTTTTTACACTTGGAGGGTATGTTCTACAACTACGGTGGGGTTTTGAGCAAACAATTGACTTGATTATATTAGGTTTTGATGGTCATCTAGATACACCGGTAGAAGTTCTTCATGTGGCCTTACTTGGAGTTGTTAAATATCTTTTCAAAGATGCAATGGATAATCTCCCGGATTCAGCATTACCTTTGGTTTTGGCACGATGGAAATCATTTGATACGTCCGGCTTGAATGTTCCACCAATTCAACCAAGAACTCTGACAAGTTATTATCAAAGTTTAGTCGGTAAAGATTTCCAAACAATATTACAATCAGTACCTTTTGTACTTTATCCTCATTTCTCATATGAAAGACAAAGGATGTGGACTGCATTGGTTCATTTAGGCTCTTATATTTTTCAAACTGAAATCACTCACATGCGCACCTACTTGACGAATCTGAAGAAATTAGTCAACATATTCCTTGGTCACCTCATCCGATGGACATCACAGTGGACAAACAAACCCAAGTTTCATATGCTGGTTCATCTTGTTCAATCAATTGACCGTTTTGGCCCACTCTCTTTAGTTGCAACTCAAAAATTTGAAAGTTTCAATGGTATACTGCAAATTGCTTCAATTCACACAAATCGACACAATCCAGGCCTTCATATTGCTACAATCTTCATTTATGCCCGCTTGCTTCGTCTACTCTTTTCAGGAGGATCAGTCTGGGATCATAAATATCACTGTCGAGCACGTGGAGGGAAGAAATTGATTGAGTTGTTCTCACAAAACAAATGGGTTCAGAAACGTTTTGCTTATAACAAGGATTGGAATTCAGAAGGAACTTTTTCAATGAAAGGTATGATTATATATTTTCTTTGAGAGCATGTAAATCAAATGTCTGATGACTGACCTAATGTATGTAGGTACAACAACTGTTTCTGCGTCAACTCCAAGCGAGCTGAAGAAGGGATTTCCCAAACATGTTTGGTTGCCAAGGAAGGAAGCCATCCTTGCATCAAAACAGCGAGTGCATTTACAAAACTTTGTTCTCATGGATCTCAAGTCAAACAACTCACCGCGAGTTGGACATGTAGAGAGTTTCTGGGAGGGTAAAGGCTCAAAAGATTCTGAGTACTTAGCTAAGATCAAGGTCTGTGAAGTCTCTGATAATATTGATGAATTCTATGGATTTCGCGGCCTAAGTATTTCTCAAGAAGACCTGTGGATATCAATCAAGGTAGATATCTCTAAATCAAAGTTTTAATCAATTTTGAAAGCTGAAAAACAACATAATTCCTCCACAGAACATCAAATGTGTCTTGAATGTTCAACATAATTGCAATCTTGCCAAGTGTAAACCCCGGAAGAGTCCAAAGAAACATGATGGGCAACTTCCAGTCAAATCTCCATATCAGATCCAACATGAAGCTTTCAATGCATATCTGATCAACTCAGGTGCCCTATATTCAGCGGAATCTCATCGCAGTATAGCAAACATCAGTTATAAACCATGGAGTGTAGACGAATGGGAGGAATGTATTGATATGGGTACAAAAATCTGGAAATCTACTCGAGAAGAAAAAGAAAAATCAAAAGAAGTACAAGTGGCTAAATCCAATAGGAAGAAAGACAAAGCAAATTTCTCAAAAAGGAAGCGTGAAGATATTGATCCTGCTTTGTATTGAAAGATTTGCATTTGTAAATTGAATTTATAAATTTGTTGTAGGGGCACCTTCTGTTCTACCATCATGGCTTTATTGTTCTTTCAAACAGACATATACATTGATATATCTTTTCATTTTTTAACAACTACTATTATTATTAGAAACTTGGGATCATTATTGAGGTGTTGAGTGTCCACAAGTTCTTTCACCTTTGCTTTTTAGATGAACAAAAAAGCAAAGTTTCTCTTCTCTTTTTCTCTTTTTCATATTGCAACTAAAACCACAAAGTGAGATCCAGCCTATGGTGATTGGCCGTACAAAAAAGTATATGGCCAAGTCTTTGTGGTGTATACTTGTGAGGGGTACGCGTCTGTTAGGCGTACTCTTCACTGAGAAATGCGTAGGTAAAGGGAAAACTGGTCTTCAATTGGTACACCCAAGTGAAGACTACAGTTAGTTGACCTCTGAGAAGAGGGTTTAAGGGAATAAAGGGGAAGGAAAGGGCTATTACGCGTAAATACGCTAAAACCTCGTGAGACTGCGAGGGGCAGGCTTTACACTTTGGTAAACCAAAGATCCTGAGGCTACTTTAGACTCCTGGTGAGGGAGGAAGCTTTACTGCTTTATGGTTTATTTCTAGAGACGTTTATGGCCCAGGGCTCGTAGAAATCAATACCAAGGGTGTTCAGCAATGGAACCCGTAATGCTCAAAGATGGTCTTTTAGACTACACAACTAATCACGTACTCAAAGATCCTCTCAATAGGATTTCAAGTATAATGTGATTCTGATGTTGTGGTGTGTGAAAAGATGGGGGATGAATCAAGGGAAGAAGGGGGGTTTATATATTCACAGGTCAAGCGTCAACTTGTGGTTGGCGTGTGATTCTTGTCTCACTTGTGGTTGGCGCTTGGGTTAGGTTTGCTACGTATTTAATACATTACGTACATGTGTTTATGTGGCTCTTGACACTGAGCCGTGAGATGTACTTATGGATTTATACAATAATATAATATTACATATGTAACTGTTAGCCCGTGGTCGTGTAATCAGGGCTCAGGGCTGACACTCCCCACCACCAGAGAAGGTTTCCTTCTACTGCTGTTGATTCTCCCTCTTAGATGCCCGGTATGCTCTAAGAGTTACCTTAGAATTAGGTACTTTATCTGCTGGGAGCCATTCGTCCCAATCTGCTCCTTTGTTCTTGTATCTCACAAGATAAAGTGTGACGTCTTCATTGTCTTTATTTTTAACTTTCTTATCTTTTAGCACCTTCAAGATTTTTTTCTCACTATCTGGTTCAAATGGAGGTATCACAACTCGTACTTCCTGTTGTCTCCTTACGTCACTTGTATCTGGTGCATGATATTTTTTTATTAATGACACTGGGAATACTGGATGCCTACTTCCAACTCCCCATGCAATATGTGTTCAACTGCATTATT